TGTGTGTGCATGGGTGTGCATGTATGGGTGTGTGTGTGTGTGCATGTGTGTGTGGGTGCATAGGTGTGTGTGCATGGGTGTGTGTGCATGGGTGTGCATGTATGTGTGTGTGCATGTATGTGTGTGTGTGCATGTGTGTGTGTGTGTCATGCGTGTGTGCATGTATGGGTGTGTGTGTGGGTGCATGTGTGTGTGTGCATGGGTGTGCATGTATGGGTGTGTGTGTGGGTGCATGTGTGTGTGTGCATAGGTGTGCATGTATGGGTGTGGGGGGGTGCATGTGTGTGTGTGTGCATGTATGTGTGGGGGTGTGTGTGCATAGGTGTGCATGTGTGTGTGTGTGCACAGATGTGCATGTATGTGTGTGTGTGCTCATGTGTGGGTGTGCATAGGTGTGCATGTATGTGTGGGTGTGTGTGTGCATGTATGTGTGGGTGGGTGTGTGCATGTGTGGGTGTGTGTGTGCATGTATGTGTGGGTGTGTGCATGGGTGTGCATGTATGTGTGTGTGTGTCCCTGGGGGTGTGTGTGTGCATGGGTTTGAATGTATGGGTGCGTGTGCATGTATGTGTGTCCTTGGGTGTGCATGTATGTGTGTGTGTGCATGTATGGGTGTGCATGCATGTGTGTGTGTGCATGTATGTGTGTGCATGGGTGTGCATGTATGTGTGTGTGTGCATGGGTGTGCATGGGTGTGCATGTATGGGTGTGTGTGCATGTATGGGTGTGCATGGGTGTGCAAGCATAAGGGTGTCTGTATGCTTAGGGGGCATTCACGAGTGCATACATGGGTGCACGTGTGTCTGCATGCATGGGGATGCATGAACAGACACAGATACATATACCTGTGTGTGCACACACAATATGTGCTTGTCTCCCAGTGTGTATGAATACATGCGTCTCCACATGCACATATGTGCATGGGTGTTTGTGTGCATGTGCCCTCTGGCTGTGTGCATGCCCCGCTGCATGCACATGTGTGTAATGTGCAATAGTTCAGGGAGGTGACATCCTGCTCCGGGTCCCCCTTGTCCCACCTGGAGCCACCCAAGGCTGAACATTGCCCTCAGTGTTGCCGGAGGTGCCAGGACCTCCCTCCTGCCTGTGCTGGGTGCATAGAGCAGCATCCACCCATGAGCTGATGGAGCTCCTGATGCAGCTGGAGGTTTCCTTGGGAAAAGGGATCCCGGTGCCCTTGGAAAGCTCCTGCCCATGTCCGTGGTGTTCCAGTGCTCTCATTCTGCCCCATGGCAACTCCTTCCTTCCCCTGGTTCTAGCCCAGTCCGCTGGGTTTTGTCCATGTGGGCAAAGGTTGCTCAGGTTGGGCAGAGCTGCTGCTCCTTGGCCATGAAGCGGTTGTGCCAGCAGTGGGGACACGCCTGATGCTGCCTCACCTCAATCTTGGCAGTGCCAGTGCCAAAAACCGCAGTGAGATGCTTCCCAGGGCATGTGAGTTGAGCCCTCTCTGTCCCAGCTTCCCCATCTCCCGGTGCTAACAGCTCTCCTCTCCTGCAGGTGACCAGGATGCTGCACCATGGGAAGCACTGGAGGTCCATGTGCAAGGGGCTCGTCCTGGGGACCCTCCTGACTAGCTTCATGCTGCTGCTTTACTCCTACGCCGTCCCTCCACTCCAAGTCAGCATGGCAGAGTGAGTGCCCTGGCAGCGTGGCCACCCTGTTTCATACCCAACCAGAGCTTTCCAGCCCTGGAAAGCTTGGGAAAATCCTGGGGCTTTCCAGGCTCTGATGGCTTCACACCAAGACATCCCCTCCCTACAACCTCGTGCTGGTGTCTGCGCCCCATGAGTTGGTGAAAGGGAACCCCAGCTCCCCGGGGGGCAGGATGGAGATGTGTGTATCCATACACACACCCTGGGTGATGGTGGGACGAGGAGGTGCAGGAGCCCCCCCCCACCCCAGCTTTGCGTCCCCTGGGAGAAGGAAAAGCATCGCAGGGACATTCCCCAGCAGTCAGGAGCAGCAGGCAGAGGGGAGCAGTTACTTGGGTGCTTTCATCGAGGGCTTGTCCTTAGGAGTTACCAGAGGGCTGCCACATGCACACTGTCACGCAGAGCAATGGGCATGGAGAGGTTCAAAGCTCTCTGCTGCTCACCTCCTGGCACTGAGTTTATCTCTAAGCTTATCCCCAGGATCCGCCTGTGGGTGTTGCGTGAGCTGCTGCCCATGCTGCCCAACGGGTTCGTTATCAGGGATCAGCTTTGCACCTTCATTAACAGTGTCCAGAGTCACTCACAGAGGGCTCTGGTCCCTGCCCCAGGCACCTCGGGTAACACACATGGTGTTCCCAGTGCTTGTCTGTGGAGCTGGGCATGGGGATTATTCCCCTCTTCACTGGGATGCTGGATCCTCCACAGCTCCTACAAGGGGGGAGCAGCTTCCCAGCTTCCAGACCTCACAAGAATGTTAACAGCTCCTGTCCATGGAGTTATGGCCATGGAGAGCTTGTCTTGATGCACATCTCAACATCACCAGGGCCACCACAGCCATGCCCTTGGGGAAGGATGGGGACCCCTCTGCTCAGGCTGTGCTGATGCTGGTGGAGTCTGACCCCCACAGCAGCACATGCTCAGTGACTGGGGTTGTCCAGGGGCGCGTGAGCTTGGTTTGGTGGCTCAGGGGCTCTGGGGACGGTGCGGGGTACAGGGGGCTCTGCCCAAACCCAATCTCCTCTGCACTGGGGATTCTAATGGGTGCTGGGGATGAGCACCCTTCCCCGGTCCAGCTCCTCCAGGAAGGAACACGGCTGAGCCTCAGTGGTGGCTGAGCCGCGTTGACCCAACTTCGTCCCATCTCCTCCCCACCAGGATCCCCATCTCCTCCTCCTGCTCCTCCTCCGCAGCCCCCGGCAAGGCTCCGGCCGTGGCGGCCAACGGCACGGGCAGCGCGTCGGGCCAGAGCTGCGTGCCCAAGGTGAACATCATGTTCATGAAGACGCACAAGACGGCCAGCAGCACCATCCTCAACATCCTCTTCCGCTTTGGTGAGAAGCACCGCCTCAAGTTCGCCTTCCCCAACGGCCGCAACGACTTCTACTACCCCGCGTTCTTCGAGCGCAGCCAAGTGCAGCGCTACCGGCCCGGTGCCTGCTTCAACATCATCTGCAACCACATGCGCTTCCACTACGAGGAGGTGCGCAAGCTCCTGCCGGCTGACACCACGTTCGTGACGGTGCTGCGGGACCCTGCCTACCTCTTCGAGTCCTCCTTCCACTACTTCGGGCGCATCATTCCCCTCACCTGGAAGCTCAGCGGGGACGACAAGCTGGCGGAGTTCCTCCGGGACCCTTGGCACTACTATGACCCCAACGGGTTCAATGCTCACTACCTCCAAAACCTCCTCTTCTTCGACTTGGGCTACGACAACAACATGAACGCCAACAGCCCGCTGGTGGAGGAACACATCCAGGAGGTAGATCAGCGCTTCCACCTTGTCATGTTGCTCGAGTACTTCGATGAGTCGCTGGTGCTGCTGAAGGAGCTGCTGTGCTGGCAGCTGGAAGATGTCCTCTACTTCAAGCTCAATGCCCGGAAGGGCTCCACTGTGTCCCGGCTGACACCTGAGCTCTACGAGAAAGCCACCTCCTGGAACCTCATCGACACCAAGCTCTACCGCTATTTTAATGCCACCTTCTGGCGTAAAGTGGAGGCCTACGGGAGGGAGCGGATGGCCAAGGACGTGGCTGAGCTGCAGCGAGAGAATGAGAAAATGAAGAGCATCTGCATCGATGGGGGACACCCTGTGGATGCCAGTGCCATCCAGGAGTCCTCCATGCAACCCTGGCAGCCCCTGGGGGAGAAGTCCATCCTGGGCTACAACTTGAAGAAGAAGATCAACAAGAAGCACCGGAAGCTGTGCCGCAAGATGCTGACGCCCGAAATCCAGTACCTGACCGACCTGGGGGTCAACCTCTGGATCACCAAGCTATGGAGCCGTGTGAGGGACTTCCTCAAGTGGTAGGGGGTGGCGGGGGTCCCGCTCTCCCCCTGAAGGAACCAGGTGCTTTCCTTTTTCTTACTCATGGTGTCTGTTGGTTGGACATGAGCAGAACCCACTGGAGGCCCCGGCGCAGGGGGATGGTCGGGGGTACCCTGCACCAGCTTCCTGCAGAGCCCCAGCTTGGGCACCCACCAGAGCCTCTCCCTTAGCCTCCGAGAGCATCAAGGACTGGGGGCTTGGGGTGTTTTTTTTCCCAGGAGGATCCACTTCTTCCTTCTCCATGGAAAGGCTGGAGGAGGTGTTCATGAAGGACATGTTCTGGTGGGAGCAGCACTTCCATCACCATGCAGCTGGAGGCAGCACGGGCAGGATGTCCTCCTTGTCCGGGGTGGGCAGAGCTGCCACCCAGGAACCCAAACCTCAAGGGGCTCCTCAAATCACTCCATTTCCCTTGAGCTCCTGGAGCTGCTGCACCCCTCCAGAGGTTCTGGCCTGTGGGGTGATGAGTGCAGCACGTTCTCAGCCTACCTGTAGCCATGGTCCACGTTGGGCTGTGACCTGGAGCCATTTAGAGAATGGAAAACCCATCCCAAAAGCCCATTTATCAGTGGGCTCATGGTCCCCACAGTGAACAGCATCCACACAGCAGGTCCCCTTCCAGCCCCACATTGCCCTGGTTAGAGGGCCCCGTGGCCCAGTCCCTACATGGGACATCCCAGAAGGCCACAGGGTCCAGTGAGAACTGGTGTGGGAAGGAGATGGGGAACGGGGTCTGGTGGCCACTGTCCCAGTGATGCCCCTGGTGGCACCTGTGGCTGAGGCTCCCCAGCAGCAAAGGGCCCCCAGCCTGTGTTCTGCTCCCTTTGGGAAGACCATAAATAAATAAGCCCATCTACTTTTGTAAGATAATGGTGTTTTGAGCAGTTTTTAACCCAAGGGTGGCCCAGCCACCTCCATCCCTCTCCCATTTCGCCAGGGGGAGGCCAAGGACCATGGATCCACTCTGCTGGCCTTGCAGGGACACCAGCCCCATGGGACAGCCACCACGGGTGACACAACCCCCTTGTGCCACCAGGTCCCAGCTCTGCTGCTGGAGGGTGGCCCCAGAAGCACCATCAGTACTGGGGTGGACGCACGCTCTAAGGGCCAGGCTGGGGCCACCACCTCAGCTGTGCATGGTGCTGCCTGTGGGTCCTGGACACAGAGCTCGGGGCCCCTGCCTGAGCTCTATGGTGTCTCCCATGCCATGCTGAGCTCTCCTGCTGGGAGCAGGTGCCAAATCCCAGCTCAGCCACTGCCTGTCTCCACAGATAAGGGGAAGGAAAAGCCAGTTCTGAGGCCAGAGGTGGCTGCAGAGATGATGTCCCCATGCATGTCCCTGTGCCGAGGCCGGGGGCTGTGATGTGGGGACATCTGAGCTCTGTCCTGGCTGTGACCAAACTGCTGTCCCTGTGTCCCTGCGTGCCCAGGGCTGCCTGTGCCCAGAGGGGCCAGCAGCGAGCCCCGGGGTAGGGAGCAGCAGCTCTGCAGTGTGGATGGGACATCCTCCTGATGGAGCCCTTGTCCCAGCTCCCAGTTCCCTCCCGGAGTGCCCTGTGCCACTGCGGTGACACCTCCTGCAGAGCTGCTGGCTACCGGGCCGGGATGTGGTGGCCCACGTGGCTTTGGGATCCTGGCGGTCCTCACGGGCTCTATTGGCCACATCCTGCCCCGGGCTCCCAGGAGAGGGCACACTCCACCGGGAGATGGTTGGAGCATTGCTGGTGCAGAAGGAGAAGGTGCTGTGGTGTGAAGGTGAGCGGACACCTCCAGCCCCATGGCCCCAAACCCCCCACCCCACGTGCTGAAGCAGCCTCTGAGCCCTGCTTGCTCTGGCGCTGTGCCCAGCGCGGTGCCAGGTTCCTGCTGGCCAGGCTGGCGCTGGTGGCATCTGCCACGGTTGGGGCTCTGCTGGCACAGGCCTTGGGCAATGTCCCTTCCACGCCGAGCCCTCATCCCCAGGGAGATGAACAAAGGGGGTGAGATGGGTGCAGACCACCAGAGCCTGGTGCAGCGCTGGGGGTGAGCTGGTGCCCCCCTTCCTCCTCCCCACTTAAAAGTGGTTCTCTCTTCTCTAAAGCCTCTCCGCGTGGGGCCATGTGGATGCCACCGCAGGCTGGAGCTTCCATGACCTTGTCTGGAAGCCACATCACCCTGGTGGCACCTCGTGGTACTGGGAGATGTGGCCACCATGCATGGTGGCATTGCCCCAGGTCATGGCGCTGGAGAGGGTGGCTTCTGCCTGGAGGGATTTGGGTGCCTGGAGGCACCACTGAAGACCTTGGACATGGTGGCAGCCCCCATGGGACTGGCAGTGGCTGTGGGAGGATGGAGGGGCTCCAGCTAGGATGTGCGGGTGCTGGTGGGGTGATCAGGGACCCCTCCATCCTCAGGTGGAGATCCCCCAGGGGCTGGGACACAGCCAGACCCAAGTGTGTGTCCCCAAGGAGGGGACATGGCCATGGGGTCTCCAAACACCACCCACAACAGCGTCAGCCTTGAAATGGTTTATTAGGACCAGCCCCGGGGCCGTCACCGGGTGTGGGATCAGGGGAGGGGGGTTCACAGTTGTGGGTCTCAGCACCCCAAGATCAGGTTCAGTGTCCCCGGGGGGGGGCTCAGTGCGGGGCCGGGGGCTCTCCTGGTGCCCCATAGAGCTTGCGGAGGCTGGAGTCCATCAGGAAGTCCACGGTCCTGTGGCAGGAGAAGGGAAGTGGGGCAGCGGGGGGTGTCCCTGGTTAACTGGCTCTGATGGGGTGGTCCCTAATCCCAGGAGCATCCCAGGTGTCACCAAAACCAGGCTTAGGGCCGTGCTCCTGGTCATCCCTGTGGGGCTGGACACCCCTGTGGGGCGAGGACACCCCTCGATCACCCCATGCTTCCCCACCCAGTTCCAAGGCCACACTGGGACCAGTTCCCCTGGGATGAGGAGCGCTCCATCCCATGGGTGAACCCCTTACCTGTCGATGGGGGTGATGATGACGGGGATGGTGGCCAGCCCCAGGGCGGTGGTGGCCCAGCGGCGCAGGGGCAGCGGCCAGCGGGTGAGGGTGCCCAGCAGGGCCAGCGAGGCGGCGCAGAGCCGGTTGATGGTGAAGCCGGGGATGGCCACCGAGGCCAGGCTCTGCCAGATGAACGTGTCCACCACGGCCACCCCGACCCGCATGGCCTGCGCTGGGTCCTGCACGTGCGCCTGGGGGGAAACGAGGGGGTCAGGGTGTGGGGATGGAGCAGTGGGGGGTGCTGGTGGGGGGGGGTGACACTCACGGTGGCAGCTCTGCGGCCCTTGTCGATGGCATCGGCGGTCACGTACGCGGTGGCCACGCCGTAGCTGGCCCACACCACCGGCACCGGCACCAGCGGGCGGAAGGATTCACCCACCTCGTTGGCATAACCTGGGGGGCAGCAGGGGGTCAGTGGGGACCAGGAACCCCCCGGGGTGTTCTGTGCCCACTGGGAGCAGTGAGGACCCACACGGAGGGGTCAGAGCAGATGGGTCACCCTGCACCCCGCGGCTGTCGGTGACCAGCACCGGTGCCGGTGCGTGTGCCCAGTTCCCAGGGGCAGTGCAGATGACAGCACGTGCTGCTGGTGCACAGTGCCAGGACCAGTGATGGTGACTGCTGTGCAGTGGCAGTGCCCAGTGCCCGGTGTGCGATGCCGTTACCCAGTGTGGTGTGACACCGGTACCCAGCGTCAGTGCCCGGTGTGCGATGCTGTTATCCAATGTGGTGTGACATCGGTACCCAGCGTCAGTGCCCGGTGTGCGATGCTGTTACCCAGTGTGGTGTGACACCGGTACCCAGCGTCAGTGCCCGGTGTGCGATGCTGTTATCCAGTGTGGTGTGACACCGGTACCCAGCGTCAGTGCCCGGTGTGCGATGCCGTTACCCAGTGTGGTGTGACACCGGTACCCAGCGTCAGTGCCCGGTGTGCGATGCCGTTACCCAGTGTGGTGTGACACCGGTACCCAGCGTCAGTGCCCGGTGCGCGATGCTGTTATCCAGTGTGGTGTGACACCGGTACCCAGCGTCAGTGCCCGGTGCGCGATGCTGTTATCCAGTGTGGTGTGACACCGGTACCCAGCGTCAGTGCCCGGTGTGCGATGCCGTTACCCAGTGTAGTGTGACACCGGTACCCAGCGTCAGTGCCCGGTGTGCGATGCTGTTACCCAGTGTCAGCGTCCAAGGGCAAGTGTCAGCACTGGCTGCACAGTGCCGGTGTCCGACACAATGCAGCGCGTGGCGCTGGTGTCTGGTAGCCGGTGCCTGCTGCGTGTGCCCAAGGACAAGTGTCCGTGCCCGGTGCCGGTACCCGGTGCAGTGTGCATAAACCAGTGCCGGGTGTCAGTGCCCGGCACCTGCTAACACAGCGCTGGTGCCTGATGCAACCGCGCTGCCTGACACAGCTCCCGGTGTCAGTGCCTGAGGACAAGCCCGGTGCCGGTACCCGGTGCATGCGCACTGACCGGTGCCGGTGCCCGCCCCAATGTGGTGCCCCCGTGCCAAGTGCCCGGTGCCGGTGTCACGTGCCCGGTGTCACGTGCCCGCCGCGGTGCTCACCCAAGTACCGGACCCACGTGTCCCGGTAAAGGTCGGGCTCCGCCGCCCCCATGGCGCGCGCTCCCCGGCTCCCGCCGCTGCACGAGCCCGCCCCGCCCCTCCAGGGACACGTCACCAGGCCCCGCCCCCCCGGCCCCGCCCCCCGGCGGCACGCGAGGGGCAGGGCATCGCGGGGCTGCGGAGGGGTTAATAGTCACGTGACGTCCCGCGGCGGTCACATGGGTGGGATCTGAGGGTGGTGGCAACGTGGAGTAGTTATGGGGCGCGGGGCGGGGGCCGCAGGATCTGGTTATGGGGCTGGGGGGGGGGGCAGCAGGGTCCGGTTATGGGGCTGGGGGGGGAGGCAGCAGGGTTTTGTTATGGGGCTAGGGGGGCAGCAGGGTTTTGTTATGGGGCTGACGGAGGCAGCAGGGTTTTGTTATGGGGCGGAGGGGGCAGCAGGGTCTGGTTATGGGGCTGGGGGAGGCAGCAGGGTTTTGTTGTGGGGCTGGGGGGGGTCAGCAGTGTCTGGTTATGGGGTCTGGTTATGGGGCTCGGGG